CCTTAGGGACGACCACATTCTCAAAGCTCACTCCCCTCGTGTCGGACGCCCTCTGACCCAACATGTCTTCCTTACGTCCGGGCACTACACCCGCACTGTTCGCCTCAACGATCAAACCCGTGAAAGCTTTACTCGTTTTCACTTTGGGGTTGGGGTCAGTGCGCGCCAACACGAAGTACCAGTTGGCGACCCCCGCACTCGTGATCCACATCTTCTGGCCATTGAGAACATAATCTCCGTCTTTATTCTTGACGGCATGTGTCTTAACACCCGCCACATCACTACCAGTGCCCGGCTCTGTCACACAATAGGCCGCACACAACACCTCTGAACCGGTCATTCGTCCCAAATATTCCTTTTTCTGGACATCATTTCCAAACATAATGATCGGCGCCTGTGGCAGAGCACTGGACCCAATGGCTGTGCCGATCCCACTGCACCCATAGCTCAATGCCTCACCTGTCAGTGTATATAATGGTCATACAGTATAAATACAATACATTGTTGAAAATATAGTATGTTAAGTATATTAACATGTTAATCATTAAATTCTTAGATATGGTTCGCCATTTGTAGATAAGTTAATGGAATTGATTAAAATATTAATAATATAAAGGATCTAAATATAACCCTATAATAATTAAAGTTAATTTGCATAAAAAATATTTTGTAATCACATTACAGTAGTAATTTGATTGTCAAAATCTATGTTAATTTGATCAACAAAACGTGATTTTTCAATAAATTATTTATAAGTGATGAAAGGAATAATAATATTGTAAAGTATAGAAACATTGATTCAATTTGTTTATTTAGTTTTCTAACCTAATAGACACGAATCAAATAGACTGAGACCCAATCCCCCGTATTCAGTGGGAACACCACCATTCCTAAGACCCAATTCATGTGCCTGTTTGACGAGATCCCAGGGAAAGTCACCCGTTTGGTCGTAATGTGCGGCCCGAGGGATGATCTCCTCTTTGGTGAACTTTTGGGCCAATTCTTGCAGTGATTTCTGCTCTGAAGTCAATTCAAAGTTAAAACCACTCGTCGTTTGACTGCTATTCAAACGTTTCAATACATTATATGTCAAACACTTTGGATTTCGTAATAAATTTAATTGTAAAACTCTTGGCACTAATGAACACATTTTTATTTAATTTATTTATAAAATCACTATTATTTTTATATTTAACCACAAATCGTAGAATTAATAATGATTTTATATTCAATTGTCGAATAGTCTAACTAGATATACAAAAATGAAATATAAATCAAGATATGAATAGTATTCAAGGCTCATACTAAATGTACATTTGATTATTTCGGTGCACTAAAAAGTACCAAAATTATTTTTATTATAAATGTTTTTATTTATACAGTACTTTGAGCTGAATTTTCTAGTGATGTCAATCAAATTCTCGTTGCATAACAAAGTTTATCATAATTCAATGCCATTTGTAGTAATTTTGTTGAGAACATCCATAAAAATATTAGTCACAAACAGAATTGAGATAATATTTTTAAATAAATATACATATACTGTATATTCATATACATAAGTTTTATTAACAAGATTTTAAAAACTCATTGTTTGAGTACTGTACTACATTGTATAGAATACATGTTGTGTACAGTGTACAATGTGTACAATATACCGTATTGTAAATACTGACATGTACGGTAGTAATGTATTCATAAAATCTAATACACAATGAGTATACAGTATTATCTTTATCCAAATTCTAGAATAGTACTGTTACTGGATTGGATTGTCTCTGAATTTCATATATAATATATATATACAGTATTTAATAAAATTAAAAAACTTAATTCCGAAATAATTTTAAACATTAAACAAAATATGTTTGTCTAATATTGTAGCAAGTAAATAATTTGAAAACATAATAATAAATTGGGATATGAGCGGTAATAAATGTATCATTTCAAAATTAACGTCAAACTACTGTAGTACTCATTACTTCAGATTTACTTGATTACGGGTACTGGATATGAATACCGGTACAGTAGATGCAATTCATCTATACAGAATGGGTCATCTTGATTACAAATTGTTACATACAGTACAACAAACAGCAAATTATACAGTATTGTAGGCTTTATTTTCAATAAACAATTATTAGAAATACAATTATTGTATCTTAACAACTTTATAGGGTAACTATGGCACTTGTTTAGTGCATTATTGACTAATATACTGAGATTAATGACAAGATTATTGATTATAAAAATATTAAAATGCAAACAATTTAAACGGTTTGTATATAAAGCTCATAATAAATGCCAAATAGTTAGGAATAATAGGGTAAAGACACGAGATTTGGGTTCACAATAATCTTTTCATTGAGTGCTGAGATGTTGCGTATCTCTCGCGCCTCCTTATCCTCCCGACTCTCTCCGGAGACCTTCTCTTCAAAGCGGATGTTTTGGGCGGCGATGTGTTGTTTGGCTCGAAATGCGGCCAAATGTGCGTACATTACAGGTGTGGGAATGGATATGGATTTAGTGCACCGGCAGTACGTGTGGCACAAGTAAAACGAAAGCTTTTGTTTGTCGTCTTCGGAAAATTTGTGGTCATCGCGAAGGCACTGGTATTTGGCGTGACGTGAAGTGCCCTAAATATAATGCAATCAAAACAATCATTGATTACTAATTGTGTGATTATATTATAATATTAAAAGAGTAATACCAGAAGACCCTCGTGTGAACATAAGTGGAACTCCCTATTCAGTGGATTAGTAATGGTGTGGTCGACCACAGTTCCCGCCGGGATGTTACGTATTTCCCGTCCCTTATCATTGAATTTGGGAACCAATGGCATGAGTCTCGTGTGATGACGCTTTTGCACCACAAATACAGTGATCTTTGGCTCTTTAGCTCCAACCGATCGAAAAGCTTTTCCAATGAGTGGTATCTCATTATCTATGACTTGAGAGAACTGTCCTTCAGATACGCCATCGCGGAAGAGAATCACACTTCGGGGGAATTGTCGCCCATTTTTAGTGTAAAAGAATTGCAATTGTTTGACAAACATCTGGTCAAAATTGCCCACAATTTCAGTATTCATGGGTTGAGCGGCAATAGTTGCCATATATTTACTAAAATCCGAGTCAAAACTGGCCACCGATGCGGCTATGGATGAGATCACCTTTTCATTGGCCAATGGATTAGTGCCCGGATGTGTGACATCGACGCCGATAATCATTGTTAGCACATCTCGTGTAAACTTGTCGGGTCTTTGGGGAGCACTTAACACCTGATTCTGACCGTCGAGTTTGGCGTTAATCTTATACAATATATTCTGGAAGTATCCGCGAGGGGTAGTCATGAAGTTGGTGTCCAAAATGCATTGCGTCGGCACTCCGTATACAATGTCTCCGAAGTATTTGACGGCATAATAGATCTCATCGTGTTTTGGGACACAAAAGAATACCATTTGACAGCTATTATTGGCAGCCATTTTGAGGGCCGACCCTACCGTGTCCATTGACTTGTAAGGACCCGATTTGAGTTGCTGTGGAGGAGGGGTAGCCATGGCATCAACCTTTTTAATGCCAACACCCATACCCTCACCGGTAGCTATCAATTCGTTAAAGAATGAGTTGAAAAGTTGTCTCCAATTAGGGTTAACAGCGAGAGATAAGTTAAAGAACATATATTTGGTTAGACTTTTGCCGGATTTCAATCTCCTCTGATTGCCCTCCAGTTTAGGCGCCGCCAACACTCGTCCCTTCAATTTTGTTGGCTTTAAATGCAAATTAATGCCAAAACTAGCCATCAATTCACTGCTCTCTTTCTCCACCGTTTGGGCCGATTCTTGAATTAAGCCAAACCGTTGTGAAGGGAATTGACTGTTAGCCACACTTACTATCTCACGGGTCATGTTAGGGGTGATGAGCCTCTTGGGGACGGGTTGGTCGGGATAGACGTGGCAGAGCTCCACAGGAAGATACCGTGGATTGTCTACCGTTCCGCCCTTTACTATAATAACGGGTATATTTGACAGAAGAATCTCTTTGTCGTACTGATCCTTGAAATACTTTTGCACAGTTGTGTTCACAGTGTTTCCCTCCGGGTCTTTCACTTTAAAAGTGGCCTTTTCAGGGGTCAATGCACTCATCTTTTCAATGAAATACCGGCGCTTTTGATTTAATATATGATTTGTGAATATTTTCAAACCTATAATAAAAATACTTTTATTAATCATATAGAATATACGGAAATATTGCAAAAATACCCTTAATTTTGGCATTAATTCTGGTGATGACCTGATCCGTGAAATTCACTCCATTTAGGTCTTGGACGACGAGTTCGCGTCCAATGAACGCATTCAAAGAGCCGGCACTTCTGAAAAGAGTGGCCGCTCTGTCAATGTTGAGAGTGAGTCCGGATTCGGTCATTTGGACGGACTGGTAGTGACCGAACCCGATCTCAGCGTTGCCAGGAATGGCAGAGCGGTCTTCAGTGGAGTACAGACTTCGAAAGACAGGCACTCGAAGTTGGGACGGCATATACCGGATCACTATCTCCAGCACTTGAATGGCTTCGCGAAACTGTTCCGCCCGCGCATTCACAAGCCGTCCGCCGAAGAACTCATTGATTGGACTCATAGACACACTTCCAACCAATTGGATCTTCACTTCAAACCGTTGCTCTTGAAAGCCATCCAATTGAATGGTCACCTCTCGTGTGGCCGCTTCCGATGGCACCGACAGCTTCTGACCGCAGTATAAGTTCTTTTGGCCGTCGAAAGCATACAACTTCTTGTCGAACACTTGTGGCCACTCTTTGGCCATCTTCTGGACAACTCTAATGTTATCCATTTTCGAGTCATTCCTCAGCTTCCGTTCCGTTTCTCTCGGAGTCATCTCTATATATCCTCTGCCATCCGATCGCATCAGACGTATATCGATGTCGTAATGAAAGCAAGACATGTCGTCAAAGCTAATCGGGTAGTGATTGGCGATCAACTCGATCGGTAGGCCTTCCTTCCCGTGTGGCCTCTGTTTTGTTATCTCGAGTTTTGTCATCTCTTCAGCCAATTGGCGAACGTCTGGTAGCTCTCGGCGAACACCCCCTCTCTGGGCACCACCACCTCGATAGCCACCACCACCTTTATAGTCACCACCGCCGCGATGGCCACCTCTGTAGTCACCACCTCCTCGGCCACCACTACCTCTTCGTAAACCCCTTCCTCTGCCATCGGATGCGGATGTGGGGCCACCTCTGGATGTAGTCGTCTCACGCCCTTCACAGTCATTATAATTAGCATATTGTCATCTCTTGGAGACAGTCGTGTCATTAGTGCTTACCATGAGATGAAGACATGAGTGACCAGTGATTGTGTGATATGCCGGACGAGTGTATGGATAGTGAGATGTAAGTGAAGACACGACTCAATGGTGTGTCAAATGCATGGACTCTGACAGTGAGTGTGAGTCAACTGNTCACAGTCATTATAATTAGCATATTGTCATCTCTTGGAGACAGTCGTGTCATTAGTGCTTACCATGAGATGAAGACATGAGTGACCAGTGATTGTGTGATATGCCGGACGAGTGTATGGATAGTGAGCTGTAAGTGAAGACACGACTCAATGGTGTGTCAAATGCATGCACTCTGACAGTGAGGTGAGTGTGTGAGTCAACTGTCAATAGTGTTAGCCTTTGCTGTAATGAATATACTGTAATGAATACAATGAATACAACTATAGTTATAGTTAATAGTAATAGTAATAGTGATGAGACAATAGTGAATACAGATTATGATTTGCAGTCATAATCATAGACACTGACTGAGAGTCAGTGAGTGTTTGGATGACACGCGTTGTTGTTTACAGTTTGGTACTGTACTGTGAACTATTACTGATAATAATACTGAAGTGAATGACCACTCCATCTCTCTTACAAGCATTACAAACATGAATCCATCAAAACATTAATGCATTTCAATTGATTTGAAGACGTCGTGCACTGAACTAACTATAAGTGACCGACAAATATAACAATTCAAATATATAATAAAATAATACAACTATTTTTGAAATACAATATGTACAGATACAATTCTTTGAGATGTGTTTACAAGTTCTAAAATTATTGATATTTTGAATACAGTAACACAGTATTGATAATATCTAATGAGTTAAAATTTAATAAATACTGTACTGGTATTAGCTCTAGAATACAGAATAGTATTGAATGGAATACTCATTAACTGAACTTTTATAAGTTTCCCGTAACTTATCCGGAAACTTAACGCTATCCAACAAGCCTGGGCACTAATTTAAATTCACCGGGAAACTTTTAAAAAGTTGNTGGTATTAGCTCTAGAATACAGAATAGTATTGAATGGAATACTCATTAACTGAACTTTTATAAGTTTCCCGTAACTTATCCGGAAACTTAACGCTATCCAACAAGCCTGGGCACTAATTTAAATTCACCGGGAAACTTTTAAAAAGTTGAGCACTAATTGTATCGATTAAATTATAATAGTAATTGATTGGCGAATCATTTATATATAATTTAATTTTAATTACTGTACAGTGTACACCCATTTCAATAGTCAATATCATACTGTACTACATACACAATGTAAATTTACATAACTAGCCTATATGACATATAGTATATGTTATAATGGATATAGGTTAGTTTTGGCCATAGTGAGAATAAAAAGACTGTACAATCCAGACTGTACAAGACTGTAAATAATTTATTAATTATTAATTTTTTAATCTTATTAATTTTTATCATATTTATAGAACTAAACCAATTAAATTATTCAAAATTAAAATGCTCAATATTGTCCAACTTTATACATAAAACATAGAAAATTTCTATGAATAATTTAATCCTTAAGTTATGTAGCATTTCATAAAAAGCATTCGTTATAATAGACTATTATTAATAGTAGGTATCGGTGTTGCCATTGAGATGGAAAGTGGCATAATATGGATGAGTAGATGAGTAGGGTATTTTAATAAGTAACATCAACTTATATATGAAGTTCATTTCCGCCGCAAGTTAGAAATACCGGTTCGGCATATATTGGCTAACATTTAACAAATACTGTACTGTAATGCCACAAATACACTATAATTAGTAATGTTAAGCATCACAACAACAAGGATCAGAATATTCTGTGAGTCTGACAGTCATATTGAAGGATAAAATTAATTTTGATATAAAGGCAGGATACTTAATTTAACACCAAGGTTAATGGATATTTTCTTTTCGATTAACACAACCAGAATATATGACCTAGCTTGTTAAATCGTATAATTCTACGTTATATAGAATCTTAGATAATAAAAATGAAATATACTTTGTAAGGATTGAATAAGTATCGGGATAGTAGTATTTAGCAGCTTATGAACGACCTTACAATGCACTAACTATTGCACTACTTCTAAAGTCCAAGTTTTATCCTATATTTGAGTTTATTTGACTACAAATTGAGTACTAATTTACGCAAAATCATTGAAATATATAAACATTGAAATACACAGTACGAGGAAAATAATTTGTCAATTATGCCGCACTTGCAACCATTGGTACAAACTATTCAATACTCGTTTTACTAAACAACTGCACTTTATTTAGAGAGTATTCATTTTACGAACCAAAACATATTTGTATGGATATAATACTGTAAAATAAGTTTGTTTTAGAAATAAATTAAATAAAAATGTGTTCATTAGTGCCAAGAGTTTTACAATTAAATTTATTACGAAATCCAAAGTGTTTGACATATAATGTATTGAAACGTTTGAATAGCAGTCAAACGACGAGTGGTTTTAACTTTGAGTTGACTTCAGAGCAGAAATCATTGCAAGAATTGGCCCAAAAGTTCGCCAAAGAGGAGATCATCCCTCGGGCCGCACATTACGACCAAACGGGTGACTTTCCCTGGGATCTCGTCAAACAGGCCCAGGAGGTGGGCCTTCGAAATTTGGGGGTCCCTTCACAGTACGGGGGCGCAGGACTGCCACTGTTTGATACCTGTCTTATAAGTGAGTATATTGTGATAAATTGGTTGTAAATTTGGATAATAGTAGTAATGATTGGAATTGAGGTGAGAGTCTGAACTATGGGTGCACTGGGATTCAGTCGGCCATCAACTCGACGGGTTTGGCTCAGGCGCCGGTCATACTGTTTGGTAATGAAGACCAGAAAAGACAATATTTGGGACGAATGACGGGTTCGGAAGCCTTATGTGCGGCCTATTGTACGACAGAACCGGGCGCTGGCAGTGATGTCGCATCCATTACATCAAAGGCCGTCCAGAATAAAGACGGAGATTATGTTCTCAATGGCCAGAAGATGTGGATCACTAACGGAGGGGTCGCCAACTGGTACTTTGTGTTGGCGCGCACTAATCCGGACCCAAAAGCACCCCCGAGTAAGGCTTTCACGGGTTTGATCGTTGAGGCGAACAGTGCGGGTGTAGTGCCCGGACGTAAGGAAGACATGTTGGGTCAGAGAGCGTCCGACACGAGAGGAGTGAGCTTTGAGAATGTGGTCGTCCCTAAGGAGCTTTCACGGGTTTGATCGTTGAGGCGAACAGTGCGGGTGTAGTGCCCGGACGTAAGGAAGACATGTTGGGTCAGAGGGCGTCCGACACGAGAGGAGTGAGCTTTGAGAATGTGGTCGTCCCTAAGGGTAATGTTTTGGGCGAAGAGGGTATGGGTTTCCGTATAGCTATGGGTGCGTTTGATCTGACGAGAGCACCGGTCGGTTGTGGAGCCGTGGGTTTGGCTCAGCGGGCGTTTGATGAGGCCGTCAAATGGACTTTCGAGAGACACACGTTTGGTGTGCCTATCCATCAGCACCAGGCCATCCAATTCATGTTAGCAGATATGGCCATCGGTATCGAGACATCCCGTATGGCAGTGCAGAGGGCCTGTTGGGACTACGACACCGGTAGGAGGAACACCTACTGGGCCTCTATAGCGAAATGTTGGGCGGGAGATGTGGCCAATAAAGCGGCTGCAGATGCGGTACAGATCTTCGGCGGCGCCGGTTTTAATAAGGAGTATCCGGTGGAGAAACTCTTGAGAGACGCCAAGATATACCAGATCTATGAGGGAACCGCTCAAATCCAACGCATTATCATTGCCCGCGAATTGCTTTCTGAAGCCAAAAAGACTTTATAATCTCATAAACGAGAGAAGAGAAACTCTTGAGAGACGCCAAGATATACCAGATCTATGAGGGAACCGCTCAAATCCAACGCATTATCATTGCCCGCGAATTGCTTTCTGAAGCCAAAAAGACTTTATAATTTCATAAACTAGAGATTTATATCATTATTATATATTATATTATAATGTTTATTATACCGTATATTTCAAATTATATTTACTTTGTATCAAATAAATACAATTCTGTGATACAATTACTACACTTTTTACTAATTATCAAACTTGTAACAATAATTAATCTATTATTATTATTATTATTATTATTATAAGCTACTGAAACCTCATATATTTACTAAATCTATAATAGCTGATGCTTTAACATGAAACAAAAATCTCAACTAGACTTTAATAAAAATATAATATATTACTGTGTTTATTACTCTTCAATACTTTTAATTAACACTTTCATACCATACTTGGATTTAAGATTAATCTGACCGGTATATGGTATAAGCAATTGAAATGTGTCTCGATTTAGAGGATCAAACATATTAAATGAATTATAACTCTTTGAAAGTTACTATTAAATGATGATTTATTGATAACTGGAAATTAATGAGTGATCACTAAAGTTTCTAAAATCAACAGGTGATCAAATAAACAATTTTAAACAATACGGTACTATATTGATACCGTATATTATTTCTCACAGTACGGTATATACGGTACTCAGTTTTAATTCTGATATTTTTAATTAAGACTAATAATATTATTCTATTATATAGCTAATTTGATGTAAATTACCTACCATATTAATATTTAACGTTAATTAAATTATTACCACTATACAACTTATAGAATATTTAATTGCCAGTATTTGTATACCGAGTCTTAGCTTAACTATCAGCTTAATTACCGTATCATTCAGTCTTAACTTGATTTTATCGTTTAACCATCAATAGAAATAACATTCAGTAAATTGCTAAATAATTCCGGTTTTATTTTAAAAGTAAATTATTTAAAGCATTATTTTTTATAAATAAATGGAATTTAACAACCGCATTGAAAAATTAATTACAAACAATTTTAAAAATTATCAATAATTGTAATTAAAAAATTAGTTACTGATTAAAATAAAACCTAAATGATAATCAAAATTATAATGAGATGTAACTGTAAGACACAAACACAGACAATGATTGCGAGAACATAACATAATTTAAACCAATAAATAGTTTAAACAATTTATACTGTAATGTAATAATATTACCGTATATTATAAGCAAAACTAAGTCTATTTTATAGCCTATAATGTATTACAAATTGTTTGGTAATTACAAAAGCATTCATTAATTTATTGTAAATTCATAAAAATAATTGTCAACTCAAGTGAACATCAGATTTTTGTTTGCATTGATTGAGATCACAATCAAATCAGATATTGTGTTCATACAGTATTTACAATAAAATAAAATTTACTCATTACCGTATATTTTAAGTTAAAAATTAGTGTTTAAAAATCAAACAATTCATGAGATAATTAAATACAAAAAACTACTGCAGGTATATTTAAAACATTTGTAATGAAACTATTATAAGGTAATTGTTAAATCAATTGACTGTATGGTATATTCAAAAAATGAATGTTTTGTAAACCAATAGTGTCTAAAAAGTGTGTATTTGTTTGAATTGAGTATAAAATGGTATGTCTTATGGTGTAAATGGTTCTCAAAGGAAGTAATCGGGTTGTGGTTTCTTGGAGGGTACGCCTCGACTCTCCTGTCAATCGTAAAACACGACAATTAATACAATTGAAAGCATTTACTCAAAATACTGGCAATACTACGGTATAATGAATGAGTACCTGAGGTGCGGCTTCAAAAATGGTGAAATCCCGGTGCAGGTTCTCATCCAACTCGAGAATGGCGGCCACATTACCGCACCGGTAGCAGTAGTTGGGCGCCGACCACACTGTTAGTACGGTTTCATTGAAATGCCATTTAAAGCCTTCCATAACGAGTTGATGAGCTCTACATATCATATCTAAATGATTGGTTGCGTTGAACTGTGCGACCACATCCGACCCAAACAAATAGCCCGCACCTCTGGGTGACACACCCCAGCCCTGGGTGTCCTCCGGGTCAGACCACAACAGGTCACACATGGGGCCGTCGTGTGGCACCTCCTGCTTCCTGTCAATCACACGAATTTGATCCAATGTCTGGATGGAAGGGCTGAGACCTCCGTGAACACAGAATATCTGTGCAAATGGTCACCAAATCAATTAATTTGTGACTCAATACAGTACTTATGGTATATGAGAGACGTAATCAGTACAACATACCGTAATGCAACTTACCCGTATACAATTAGTAATGCTATAGATACATACTATAGTATAATATATGCCGTAGGAATAATATGCACGGTATACCGGTATTATATACAATACTGTATAAGTTATATAATACCTGTATTGTACGTCTCTCATACTATTATCTAATAGACTTTCATATATTAGACTTTTTCATAAAACAAATTTGTGTTACCTTTCCGTCAATAATGGCAGAGAGCGAGAGATAATCAAAAATTTCAGTGCAATATCTCCACACAGTTATGGATCCATACTTTCGCAGACATTCGTCATAAAAGCCATAGACTTGTGTTATTTGTCTCGACTCATGATTGCCTCGAATTAAAGTAATCCTATCCGGGTATCGAACCTTCACAACCAATTCAAATCAATGTCATCCAAACAAATCCATTAATCTCTCACTCGTTGCCAATCAATCAAAACAAGTCTTTTCATACCTTAAGCGCTAATAATAGTAGAAATGTTTCGACAGAATAGAAGCCCCGGTCGACAAAGTCTCCCATAAACAGGTAGTTAGTGTCCGGGACATCACCGCCCACTTTGAACAACTCCTTCAGGTCGTAGAACTGGCCGTGGATAATAGTAGAAATGTTTCGACAGAATAGAAGCCCCGGTCGACAAAGTCTCCCATAAACAGGTAGTTAGTGTCCGGGACATCACCGCCCACTTTGAACAACTCCTTCAGGTCGTAGAACTGGCCGTGGATGTCACCGCACACCTACACATACACAGTATATCAGTATATATAACATACCAGTCCATCAACACATCCACACCACTCACAGCCAACATATGCATCTCTATTCATATGTATGCCATTACCACAAGTCATCTGTGGATCAGTTTACTGTCAAACTGAGCAAAGGTCTACAACTGTCACTAGTCTATGGAGTCATTCAATGTGTTGCAGATTATGTGTTCATAACTATTTAAATGGGTTTGTGGTATGGGATGGCACACAGACACAGACATAGCATATGTTGGCATATCATATGATATACGGAATGGTATGGTATGATAGCCTACAGTGACGGGTGCGTCCACTCTCTGAACGTTGGACTCCTCGACCAGAATTTCTCGGGCTTTGGCACAAAGACTCTTCACCTCCGACTCCTTGATTATCTCACACCTCCGCAGCTGTTCTATCTGTCGGTCCAGGTCTGAAGAGCTGGCCATCGATGTGGTCGACAGCAGATCCGTGTTATCGGTGTTGTTGTTGCCGTCATTGGTGGTGGTGGGTGTGGTGGTCATCACTTGGTCACCATCTGCGAGACCACCATCGGGACCAGTGGTGGTCATGAGTTGGCTGTGAGTCTTGGTATTGTCATCAGTGGTGAGCGACTCATCGGTGCAGTTGTTGTTGTTGTTGATGTAGTCATTGCTCTCATCACTGCTATTGACCACTGAATCTGCGGCACAATTGTTATCACTATTTGTGGACATAATTGCCAATGAAATGCTTGTATCTGATAATAATGTCAACTATTTGTACACAAATCACACAATTATGACAATTAATCGTACGTTAAGTCAAATGAATGACAAATTGTGTGAAAAACGTTTCACTCGTCTCTCCCTAACAGACACTCTATTCATACGTTTCACTCATTTCTATACACTTTCGATGCAAACCAGTGTTGAGTCTATGACTCTATGTATTGCTTTGTAGTGTTCATTATGATTGCCCACTAAAATAGCGTCTCTGGCAGATGTGTGCGGGAGTATAAATGACTCGCCTATTAGTTTACATCCAGTATTTCTAGAACTAGATTACATATGATAGTCTATCTGTATATTTGACACATATTTGTAGCATACAGTACAATGGAATACAATTGAATGGGACTTCATTTGGTTGGGATGCACCCCAATCAATATATCTGTTTGGGTGGTATGTAGTGCATAGAAAATCACAAAACGTCACAAAACCAGGGGTTTGGGCTAAAAAATGTCCCAAAAATGAAGGGCTGGACTCGATTTTTGAATTACTCCCCCTATTCTCGGGGTTTTCGTTGCATTACCTGACTTAGTGAAATAAGGCTTGACCCCAATCTTATTTGCGGTTTATTTGGTTGCATGGCGGTGTGTGTGTGAGGGCATTGGGATGGACGAGATTGGGAAGCAATGGACACAATCATTTTGCATCGCATCCCAAAACGGCAATTTTATGAAATAGAAAATTCCTAAAATTGTCAAGGTATTGTGTAGTTATTATAATAATAAAATTTATTAAATATATTCTATGCATTGATTGGAAACGTTTTACACGTACACTCTTTCTGTTCTCTGTGCTCATAAAAATGTATATCAAATATGGTGTGGGAATCCTACTAAGGATTATTGAAACTTTCAATTTGAAAGCAAAGACAACTTTCTTTGAACGCACTGTAGTTTATCCTTAGTCTACAATATTGTAAAATACTGTATAACCCCATGAGAAATATAAACGTTGTGGCGGACTCTTAACTTATAAGTCCCCTCCCAAATGATCAATACAGTATACATGTCTAGTGATGTACAGTACTATCCATATTTGACGTCTACTAACATATAAGTCAATACAGTCTATGAAGGGTATAATGAACGGTGACATACAATACTGCATTAAATGTGTAGTGAATGATTGTATGTTGTGTTGTGAAAGCAGTGTTGTACTGTAGAGAATATATAAATCGTAGTGCACACAACCAATGTCTCAATGGGACGTAAGTGTTGTTTTGACAACAATTGGTGTCTTTTAAAGTTCTACACACGCCCACAAGGCGTACTGGGCGCGTGCCCAGGGCATGCCCGACATATTCTAGACGCGCCCGTTCGCCCAGTTTCTAACATTAAAACTTAATTATGAGTGATAACAAATTCTGAATATAAATCTCATTCAAAACCTTTATTCAAGGAATTAAATTGGTTTCAATTCAATGATTTAATGAGAGATGAGTTATTTAAATATATTTATAAGAATATCAATGAAAATGGGTTGTGATATCAAGTTTTTCGAGTACGAACCCGTCCGGAGGACTAGATCTAGAAATTCAAGACATTTGATGGCAACAAATGAATGCTAAACACAATTGCACCCAAAATACTATTTTTATAAAGGGGTGTAAATGTGGAATGAATTGGATTTAACCCTTAGAGAGACACCAAATTTTAAACGTTTAAAATCTAGTTTGAATTGTTTTTAAAATAACTACTGTATTATATTTTATCTACTGTACTATGTATTATGTATCATTTTTAAATAGATTTCTATGTATTATAATTTATAAAGAGGTAATGTAAAGAACATAAACTTTAATTACGTGAATACACACCTCTATAAATAAATTGAATTTGAATAAAAACAATTTCCCCCATTTTGAGCCCATATTATTTCAGGTATTATATGTGCTCATTAGGTCCAGGCCCCTCCCATTGTTCGGATGTATTACTTTGGCACGCGCCCAACCGTCGAACTCTCTTTTGTTGGTCTCTTCGCTCATGTGATGTGATGCTCACTACTACACAGTAGTACACAGTACTCAGTACACGGTAGTACTGCACAGACTGACAGCGACAGTGACAGACACAGTGACAGACACACACACTGCGAGACAGTGACAGTGAAGTAGTATTAGCCGGTGTTGGGGTGACTGTAGCTGTGATTGTGATGGTATGCCAATAGGTGTGTGTAATGGGAAACATACATACCGTGGGTCCCAATGAGTCTCTGGTGGTGTCGGGCGGGTGTTGTGGGTCTACTCGGAAGGCGTTGGTGGTGGGCGGGTGGTCGTGGGCGTGGTGGCTGGTCACTGACGTACAGCGACTGTCCCTCGAGGTCATGACACTCTCGCCCCGGTGTGAGAGTGTGGAGACGTCGCAGGGGGTGCCCCTCACGGTCACGGGTGTGGCCCAGTGTAAGGTCATGACTGAGAAGGAGTTCCTCACCATAGCTGCCGAACAATTTCTTGGCAAAAGTGTCGANTTAAAAGGTGAACTTTTGCGAACGAGGGGGGAAGGGGGTCGAGACCTTAAGAACGTTCGCATATTATAGATTTAAGAAAATAATTTTAAGAATTTAAAGGATTAATTTTTATCAAAGTTAATTTTTTTGAAAACAACTGTTTGATAACTTTGAATAAATAAATGAACTTTGAATAGAAATAATTTCCAGTTTATGAAATATTTTGAAAGTGAAGATAATTTTATAAAAACATTTCTAACATGACCACCTCTAGCACTATTTCTAAAATTACTGTCGATTCTATGTTTATAATTAATGATTTAATTGATTGATTTAATTTTAATTAAATTATATATAAATTTAGTGATATTTGATTTCATAGGGGTGGGGAGGGGTTAGTGACATGCGAACGTAATTTTCTAAAATGGTTACATGTGAACAATTGCGAAGGGTCAAGATTTCTCAAAAAGTGCGAACGTAATATGTGAACCACGCCTTATTGGTACAGTAATATACACTTATAGTTTGTGCATACCAATGTAAGGTCTAGTTAAAAATTACAAACAGTGAATTAAATTGTATATATTACTGTAAAGTATATATGCCTGTACATTAAAATATTTAATTATGTCAATAATTAAGTACAGTCAATACTAACAATAATTACTGTACCATTTTAAGATACTGTAATAGGATATAATGCTATACCGTACATAAAAATTTATGTAAAATATTATTTGTGATAAACTGTATTTGGTACAACTTATGTATAAAAACTAGAATTCATTTTAATGGATTTACGCGTCTAATTTAAACTAGATAATTATCAAATTTAGAATAACCTTGACTAAAATATAAATTGGTATAATAACAATTGATTCAATTATCAATCCTTAACTTCAGGTTTAGTTCAGTCTCTGTTAGAGATTTTATAAACTAATCCTTCATTTATAGTGAATTGAAAAGACATCAAAATCTTATTATCCGAATGACTGCTATCTTCAAAGTCTAATAGATATTAGAGTTTTGATGAAATGGATAGCAGTCCGACATTAACCTCAGCAACCCTTTGCTTCAGCCGACTGACCACTTCTTTTCGTTACCAAAAGTGTTGTGAAAATCTGTTTAACATTCAATTATCAATAAATCAGTTCAGACTTGAATATTATACTAAAAGCAAAGCATACCTCAGCACTAGTCGGATGAATGCCAATAAGTGCGTCGAGATCTCCTTTAGTGGCTTTCATCTTAAGGGGAATGCCTACCAGTTGTGTCACTTCCCCTGCATTTGGACCCAAATAATGGAAACCCAATAGCCGTTCCTTTAAATAAATAAATACAAAATCAATAAATTGTTTGTTTTAAAAAACATATTTTTAATAAAATAACAAACATTTTCTGATTTCAAACAAATAAGTTTCGCAAAGCAAGAGTTGACGGGACGGTGAGGGACCTGCCATTCGAGGGGACAAAAACTTTGAACGTATACTTCGATGTTGTCTTCGCCGAACTCTTGGACGGCCTGTTCCTCTGAGTAACCACAGGCGCCGTATTCAAGTGGTGTGAATACAGTGGTCGGAACGTTGATGTAATCGCACTCAACACTACTGC